GAGAGAGTTAGAGAATCTGTTTAGGGAGGAAAGAGAGATTATCCAGGCGTGGAGATCAGACTTTCTGGAGAGGGTAAAGGCTAGAAGCGTATCACGCAGAGAAACTAGTAAGCGATCTGCAGAAAGCGAGACAACGGAAGACAAAGTTACGCAGGGGAGTAGCGACGGGACATGAGCGGGACTGCACTACACACGACGGATTGGTACTCATTACATGTGGTAGGGAGACAGGATGGACCATTAGTGTTAGTGATCATAAAACTCCAGCTCCATACCAGACTGTGCATAGTTGAGGAGACAGAGTGTTTCCGCCGTGCCCTGCGTGAGGCAAGGGGGACAGGGCTTTGGATTGGAATAGAAGGAGGACGGAGGATAAAATACGTACTCCGAGTAACACCCTTCGAAGGGCGGTCTCGGATAAGGGCATGGTACGAGACGACCAGAGAGGCTGAGAGGTTGAAGATAAGCGAAGCCAGGAAAGCTGGGAAGTTAGGGAGAGTAGTAACAKATGGTGCAATACTCAGGGTGTTAGCTGCTCACAACCGGTACTGGAAGGAAACGATGAAGACTTTAGAGACGATAGACGAAGGGGGAGATAGTGAGGACTTTGAGACATTTTATGACATATTGGAGCGGTCGGCGATGAGGCTACAGGTCGTTATAGCACTAACTTACCTCAGCTGTTAGACAGATGACCTCGTAACTATTGAGGAGATAAGGTAGTGGAAATAGAAATTGGAAGCTCTTGGAACGATAGAGGAAGCTAGAAAGGTCGGTGGGCGACATTGGGCGATAGTAGGAGGGCCTTTAGCGGGCTAACTGATTCAGACTGGGCTAGGAGGGCTAGCAAGGAGGACGGAGAGAGATGCTCGGGGACTCTTGAGGAGTGTTGATCAGGAGACATTGGCTAGGTTTGGGATTGCAATCTGTCTCAAGGATAGAGGTCCTGTCACGGGAGTACTGTGGATCCGGACAGGCACGGCCTTGTTGACCGATCCCGAAGGAGAGGTTTACTTAGACACAGGGATTCTTGGGATAGAGAGAGGACTCGAGATCTGCGACCGGAACGGAATACTGGAGGTGGTAGTCAAGGCAGTCGAGGGCTAAGATTAGAGGCGGACGTGAGTCGTGACAAAGAAACAGGTCCGGGCTGCCGCGACTGTCACAGGTCCGGGCTGCCGCGACTGTCACAGGTCCGGGCTGCCGGGACTGTCACAGGTCCGGGCTTCCGCGACTGTCACAGGCCCGGGCTGCCGCGACTGACACAGGTCCGGGCTGCCGCGACTGTCATAGGGTCGGGCTGTAACAGGTGGCTAGAATACCTAGCTGCATCTTCTGGCGGTCCAATGGAACCTAACACGATGGGGCCACAACCGACCACGGGCGAAGCGGGAGAAGAGTACATGACATCGCCCGATCGAGCACTGAGGGATCTGAAGGAACGAATTAGGCAAGAAGCACCGCTGAGATGGGCTGACCAAACCAATGACGGAGGGCCCGACATGATAGGTGAACCAGTTGCGACAGAGCCGCAGGAGGCTCTAAAGACGGGTACCTCGAGCG